CACCGGGGTGGATCGACAGTTTAGTGAGCCCTAAGATGCGGGGTGATGATATCAAACGGTGGCGTAGCGTAGCATACACTAGTTACTAGACATGAAAGCGCAAGAGCTTATCCTTTCCTAGCTCGGTTCACATGTAGGTCAGATTGTCGATAGCTAGCAGCGCATTATCCTCGGAGGTGGTATCTTGGTATGGTAGCCAACAAACACACCTCTGTCCCGCCCTCCTTCTCTCTTCCCCGGCAAGGGGTCTTGAAATCTACTACTAGTACTACATAGTACTAGTCATTCACTCTCAATTCTAGGCCCGATAAGCAGAACCAGAAATACTAATAACCCGTATAATAGTATAAAGCCACACAGTCCGGATAATCAGCCAACAATAACTATCTAAACCCCTTACCAAATAATCAACATACTCAACCCATTCAATCTAATCCCAAACGCCTAACTCCCTCCCAAAACAAACCCGAATCCGAAACCAAAGATCAAAATGAACCTCAAACATCTTCTCCTCCTCGCCACCCCAATCTCTCTAACCCTTGCCAACCCCAATCCCAACCCGGTCGGGCCCCGAAGCCCCCAATCCACAGGCCTACTATCGGACCTCCCCTCCCTCATCGACAACCTCAAGGAACTCCTCAGCCAAGACACAGTCGACAACCTGGAAACGATCGTCAAGGGCGCGGCAGTGCTACTTGGGGGCGATACGCCACAGAACCTGCAAAAGTTGTTGTCGAGTAGCAATATCGACAAGTTGCAGAATATTATCGATAATGCGGATTTGCTGTTGACGACGTCGTTTGTAAATGAGACGAGTGAGTTGATTGGGGATGCGTTGCCGGTAAGCCTATATTTTTCGTTGCTTCGGAGTATATACTATGTGAGAATACAATGCTAATGAGGGCCAGTTGGTGACTGATGTATCGGCGTTATTGACGGCTATTATGAAGACTGCGTGAGGTGCAAGAAGTAGTAGTAGTTTATAGGACATAGTATAGTGAAATGAAATGATGATAATGATATAATTAGTTGCCTTAGTTGCTCCTATTACTCCTAAGTACGAGACCAAAACGTAGCAGAAACCTAACTATACTAGATAAAAGAAGAGAACGCTAAGCATTCAACTTCCCCTTCAACTCCCCCAAATAATACCTCAACGGATACCCTCTTATCGACGCAGGCAGCGCCGGATACACCGCCACCGAAAACCCCATCGTCCCGCGATACAGTCCCCTCGTCTTAGCTGACGACTTGAGCCCATACGCCTCGCGGATCCGAGGCGGGAGCATCTCAATTGTAATAACCCTCAGCAGAGGCTTCACGGTTGAAACCCAGCGAGGCAAGTCCGTCCGATTCAGAAGATCCTTAGCGAAGAGATGCGCGTCTCCGCTGACATTCAACCGCTCAATTTGGTCATCCCAGTACGTCCAGAACGCCTGGCGAGTGGGCGGCCAGACGTCCTTGGCAACGTTCAGACAGGACAAGATGGTAGAAAATTCAATGTAGGCCTTTTCAGCGGTACGATAGTCGACGCGGCCGTAGATACGCTGGTAGAAGTCGGTAGCGGTTGCGTAGAGGGTGGCTGTAAGCCACAGCTGGATGTAGGGATCGCAGGGGAGTTTGGTAGGGAGAGGAGGGTGGTCTTTCTGAAGGAGGTCGAGGAGGAGCTTCTTCTCTTCTTTGGTGCCAAAGACGAGACAGGCAATGTAGCTGAGGGCTGTTTGGAGGGTGTTGCTGAGGTCGGTGGCGAGGTTGTTGTCGGTGCTGGTGTTGGCTGGGGTAATTGTCTCGGTCTTGGTTTTGGTGGCTTCCTCGAAGGCGGATCTGATGTTGGGGTAGGCGGCTTGGAGGAGGAGAGCGGCCCCGGAGCCGGCAAAGAGAATACCTTCTTGGAGGATTTGAGGGAGGATTTCGAGCTTGTCGAGGGCTTCGAGATGGTTGGTGGTCACAGTGGTGGTTTGGGAGGAGACCGGGGAGATGCGGTCTGATGTTGCTGCGGCGGCTTTTTCGTCCATTTTGCTTATGATATGGGTTGGTGGTTTGTATTTGGTGGATAGGTAGTTAGTAGCTGCTTGGATATTATTATTGTCTGACAGGTGCGATTAAATCAAATTGATGATTAACGGCCGACGCTGATAAATGCAGCTCGATGCACATGCCGGTGCAGCGACATTGCAGGGGGATACGAGAATATACGGGCACAGGCACATCCGCGGCCTGCAAGCGAGAAAGCATATCAATCAATCCTGCGATTTGATAGACAAACAAACCTCTCACAGCAGGGAATCAGTTGACCCATGATTTACTTTGCAAAGGACTGTGGATAAGCATCCCCGCATCCCCATCGGGCAAGGAGTCCGAAATCCCCAGAACACAGTGGATCATCCCCCGTTTCAACCCAAAATCGAGGGATGCCCTAAAAGCGTCCACCAAAACCGGGCTCCGAAATCAACGTTCAACCGCGGTTCTCAATAGTCGGGCGGATCGGCGCCCTGACCAGGCCGCATGTGAACCCAATCCATGGGTCATCATTGGGCCTGCAATTTCCCACTTGCACTGATCGACGGGTTCCGGGACGATCCTTGCGGAGAGATGGCAGGGGCTTGAGGGTTGCATTCCGAGGGCGGCAGGTGTATACGAGAATCATACACGATAGCAAGGTTTCTTAACTAGTCGGTGGGTTGCCAATGGCTCCATGATATCAGCCGTTACTATATCAGATCAAGCACCCCGGTTATCCGCCCCTCTTCGCCGGCGACCGTCCCAGCAGCAAGGGCCATACCATCATGGACGAGAAGAAGACCTATCTCGCCTCCAAAGAGGCCAAATACGCCCTGGGTACTCATCGTGGTCCTCTGCCCACTGAAGGCCTGGAAATTGAACATGTTGAAACGGCCAATTCCATCTCCTTGGAGCCGGTGAAGCGCACGCGATCGCAGACTCTGCGTCGCCATTGGGCTCGGTTCTGGTGTTGCTACGCATTCTGGGGCATTATTTTCCTGGCGATTTTTCTGCCCATTTTGTATGCTTCCCTTTCTTTTAATTGTCACCAGTCTATTCCGGGGCAATGACTGACCATTGATCAGCTTTTGCGTGATTATTCCCGCCATTGCTCAGCGGGTCCTGGACAATGGCACTCTCGTCCTTGTTCACGCCGACGTGCTCCAGCCACGCCCCAATTCCATCATGCTCAGCATCAATTCCGCCCTGAAGTTGCCCATAAGCTTCCCTGTGCGTATGGATAACTTAACACTCTCACTCTTCAATCGCTTTCTCCCGGAGAACAACACCTGGGCAAAGCTATACATGGACGGGGCTACAATCAGCGGAAACACAACCCTCAGCGTGGATGACCAGTTTACTCCATTGGATGTCTATCAGTGGACACAATATGTTCGCAGTGTGGTCTTCGAGGCCCATGCTCCATTGTCCGTCAAGGCTCCCGTCACTGCATATATCGGAAAACTGAAGTCCCACATCACCTTGAACAAGGACATTAAGCAAAACAGTGCGTCTCCCTGAGCCTTATCATCTAGAGTGAATTGCTAACTGAATGCTCCAATGTGACAGCCCTCAACTCCTTCGCCGGCTTTTCTATATCCGATCCAAAACTTCTCCTTCCCGCCGAATCCGACGGCACTAACCTGGTCGCCAACGCAACCCTTCCCAACCCGTCTGTGATGACTCTTGAAATCGTGAGTCTTCCTACCTATTTATGTACTATAGCCAATCCTGACCGAACTACAGGGCAACACCACTCTTAACCTCCTCAGCGGCAACCTCACTCTCGGAAACTGCACTCTCAACAACCTCATGCTCAGACCAGGCAACCACTCCACGCCCGTGCGAGGGATATTGGATCTTGGTACACTCATCGAGAACATCGGCCCTATACTAAGCGAACAAAGCGATTCTATCAAAGAAGGCTACTTAAGTCTCACGGCCGTCGGCGCGAACGTTGAGTACGAGGGCGTTCAGGTCCCCTACTATACGGAAGTGATGAAGAACCTGACCATGACGGCGAAGGTGCCGCTAGGCTCGCTGGTCACTAATACTCTAAGCGGCATCTTGCACCCCAATGGGACCAATATCTTCGCGGGGTTAAATATGACTACTGATAGTGGGGAGACATTTACAGTTGGTGAGGATAAGGCGGATGGTGGCAGTGATGGGGCATCATTGGGGCGAAGGGCATTGAAGATGCTGGGGCAGGAAGAGAGGAGGGATGAGGTGGTAGATGTCTTGAAGGCTTTGATGAAGAGGGGAGCTTACGAAATATGAATATGGAGTTTACATTGGGTTTGGGCGATGGCGCTGGCGTTATATATAGTATAACTTGTTGATACTCTTATTGTTAATGTATACCTGAGCTGGGTTTGGGATAATTATGGGTGGGATCGTCCTAACGAGCAGACTTTTTCGTTGAAGTATACCCAAACGGTTACTTGCATCCAATCAACTTATCAGTCCTCATCATCTATCTATCAAAGTTCCTCACAGACCCTTACATACCTCCCCCACCCCCTTGATCATTCAGATGCAAGACATACCCGCAAGGGTATGTGCATCATGCATCACCAACCAAACCGTCCCATGACCTCACCCCTCCATCCCTGTCTTCAACTATCTTCTCCCTCCCTCCCAAACCATCCCTCACTCCCATAACCCATCCAATGATGGCACCACATAGCCTGAACATCGCCATAATCGGCAGCGGCCTCGCCGGCTGTCTCGCCGCCCGTATCCTCCGCGAGCAACACACCGTGACCATCTACGAGCGCGATACCGCCAAAGCCGAAGCCGGGGCTGCCATCAATCTCGGCCCCAATGCCGTGCACATTCTCAATAGTGTAGGCTTTGATCGTCGCCGCGCCTGCTCCATCCCAGTAACTCGGGTTCTGTCGTACAACAAGAAAGGCGAGCTGACGCGGGAATCCATCCATGATTACGTCCAGGAGTTCGGAGCGGACTGGTTATTTCATCATCGGGTGGATCTGCGAGATGAGCTTCTGCGGTTGGCTACGGCTCCGTCGGAGGAGTTGGGTTTGAGTGGTGAGCCGGCGAAAGTGCGATATGGGGCGAGGGTTGTAGGTGGGGATGTTGAGGAGGGGAGGGTGATATTGGAGGATGGCGAGGTGGTGGAGGCGGATCTTGTTATTGGTTTGTTTGTTTCTTTCATTCTTCCCTTTTCTTCGGTCTATCTGGTGTTAAATGATATCGTTCGATGCAATACTGACAATGAAACAGGCGCCGACGGGATCCGATCCATCATGCGCGGCCTCGTCGTCCACGACGACGCATACATCACCGCGCAGCCATCAGGCTCCTCTGCATTTCGATTCACCATGTCCCGCGAGAAGGTCATCGAGCTACACAATGGAGAAGTGCCCGAGATAATGGACTCAAGTAAGCCAGGCACTTTGATTGGTGTATACGCCCTTGACCCAACGGAGCGACGAGTGATTATGTATCCGTGTCGGAACTACGAGATCCTCAACTTCGCCGTGCTCGCACCAGATAATATGCTGAAGGCACCGGCGTCATCAGATTCATGGTCCGCGCCGGGCGACAAAGACGAGATGATCTCGCTGTTTACGGATTTTCCAGAGTGGGTGATTAAGTATTTCCGGTATTCTCCCCCTTTCCCTCAATACTTTATGTGGTACACTGACATGGAAATAACGGCTACAGTGCAGCAGAAAATATCAAGCTATGGCAACTCCGCATGCAGGACCCATTACCCACGTATATCCGCGGACGAACGGTCCTGATCGGCGATGCTGCGCACGCCATGACGCCTCATCAGGGCCAGGGAGGATGCCAGGCCATTGAAGATGCAGAGGGGTTCCGGCTTTTCCTTGGAAACCATGTCACAAGGGAGAGTATCCCTTCTATTCTGGAGGACTTCGATCGTGTACGCAGGCCCCGGGCGTCGCAGGTTCAGCTGAATACTTCGCAAGCTACAGCGAGACACTCAGCGAAGGAGATTTATCGGTTTCGGAAATTCAATTTCACCTATCATGGGATTTTTGAGGAGCTGAAGAGAATCAAGACGGGTGAGGAAGTGGGTCAGGGGGAGCAACTCGAGAAAGAGTCTCAGCTACATTCTGCTGTTGGGTCATGTCGCTGTAGACACCGTCAGACACTCACCTAGTTTTGTTAGCGAATATAATGGCTAAAGTAGTTGCCCAGACATCAACTTCGGTTGTGTAGTGTAATGGTCATCACTCTGGATTCTGATTCCAGCAATCCCGGTTCGATCCCGGGCACGACCTTTTCTTTTTCTTTTTTCTTTTTTCTTTTTTCTTTTTTCTTTTTTCTTTTTTCTTTTTTTTCCCCTCCACATCACTACATCGCTGATGCAAATTAGGAACCAAGGGAATTGCCTGTTTCCTGGTCTGTTACTGTTTCGCTCGACTATATCCAAATTGGCTTTTTGTTCCCGTTTTGGACACCTGGAGGACTCTTCCAACGTGGATACTACAATTTTCACTAGCGATGAAAGTACTAACATACATTGTTACTACGCAGCTGCAGAAGTTATATATATATATATTATTGCAGTGCGCTAGGATTTGTATAGCTTCGCTTATCAGTTGCTCCTGAATTCACCAGCATGCATGCCAAACCACTCACTCTTGGTGACGCGTGACTCCGGCAATATACTAGCAAACAAATTCACGGGAATATGTGGAATATTTCACAGTGAACCCATTGTTTCCCTCCCAATAGGAGAGTCTATTGAATATTGTAAATCACTCTTCTCAAATCACCACTGACTGTGCATTTCGCTTAAGATAGGGTAATGACATGAAATGTCATGATGCTCGTATTTTCACGGAGAAGCATTGAATGATGGCTCACGTGAGAAGCAATATATAAACCTGGTGCCATCCCTCTTCTCTCCTTCTCTCCTTCTCTTCTTCTCATCTCCAAGCAGCTACTAGTAGTATCACTATCAGTACTATGTTATATTATACTATCAACTATGATACAGCTCTATATGATGCTTGATAAATATAGTTTCTGATACTCTTCGTTGAAACATTCGAGTCAACCAGTCTGCTGAGTGTCTATCGATATATAGCTCGGGTCTACTTGGCTACATGCTGCTCGAAACCTATTCGAGCTCTACTATGAGCCCTCGCTAGTTGCAGGAAATGTCATGTTCTGCTTCATACTAGCTATAATAGGCCCAAACAGGGGCTCACGGAACCTGGCAGCGAGGAAGTTAAACAGCGGTGGGCTGGGCCGTTTACGGTATGTACATTGATCCTTCTCTTACTCCTTCATACATCATGCCATCATAGCAACTTAAAGAGATAGCCTCACTAAACTAATCCGTTACAGGTTCCACAACAAGAAAGAACTCGCAACAAAAGCGGCGCGGCACTTTCGGGATAACCAGACCCAACACTGTATCATCATAATCCGGTGCCGACGAAGAAGAGTGCCATCTGCGGCAGCCGATAGTGGTCGGTTGGCCGCTCGGGCTTAGCATGCTGCTTCTGACACCTATCGGACCTTTATAGCTCCTGGCTTCAGCCTAGAGGGACACAGATGTTGGGAAAACACAAGAGAGTTCTCAACAAAAAGAGATTCAGCGCTCTCGATCGACCCAGACATGACACCGTCTGTCAATTACATAAAGATACAGAATAAAGAAGGATGTCATCTGCGGCAGCCGATTGCTGTTTGCTTGGCTCAACCTGCTTTCTCTGATAGCTGTTGGGACTTATTGAATCTCTGGCATCAGCCTCGAAGGAAACGGTGATGCTGAGAATATACAAAAGATTTCTCAACACGAGAAAAATACAGCAATTTCGGTAGATCCAGACCTGACAGCGTCTGTATCATCATATAAAGGTAAAAACAAAAGGATACCATCTACGACAGCCGATTGCGATTCGCCTGGCTCAGCCCGCTGGATTTGGCACTCGTTGGAGTTATCTACGTCTCTGGCATGAGATGTTGAGCAAAAGAAAGACTGCCAACAGGAAGGCATGCATCATCCTCGACAGAAACACTCTCTAAAGTCGCATTATCGCCACGAGGATGATATCGAAATAAAGGGTACCATCTACGGCAGCCGATTGGGGTTTGCTTGACCTAGGTCGCTAGTATCTCTGACGCCCGTCGGTTTTATATAAATCTCTGGCTTCAGCATAAAGAGACGCAAATATTACAGACATCTATATAATGGTGGGAAAAGTCACACTCACTATAGACGCTGTTTGAATCACTCTTCTTCAGCAGCAATAATTGGTGGGGTCTCGCCTTCTTCGGACAAAGACAACGTCAACTTCATACCGAACAACTACCTATATGGTAGCTCTGCTGTGGTTGTCCAAGTATTGGAACCCAAAGACTATTGGGAAACTCGAAGATTCACCATTTGACATGGCTTTTGACACTTTGCCTGGTTTTCTCCGGACACAAGGAAGGCAAGAGTCCAGTCCTCAGGATAATTGCGATGTATTTGTCTTAATATGCAACAGATGGGTGATGAAGACGAAACGAGGCGTCTGCCTTTTTGAGGACTCACTTCCAGGTCTGAAATGCTGTTCTAGGTATCTTATCATCTACACTTGAGATAGACGCACTCAAGCCTCTGCAAAACTGCTAAAGCGCCGAAAAAGAGAAGAACAGGGAATTGTCCTTGCGAAATTCTTTTCATCGTGTGGTACATACCCACCAAGACAAACATGCCTGGTCTGATACATCGGTGACAAAACAGCTGGCACGGGAATGGTGTGTACGATCAGGAAAAAGTGAGGTGGTTGTCCATCTCAGGAACGAATAATCACACTCAACTGGTAGAACCTGCATAGGTCTGATGAACCTGGAAGAGAGCGGGAAAGGTCTTCGAGGATACAGCAGTCTGGAATCGTGCGCTATACACATACGTCCTATAAGACTTGAGACTGGCTCAGACTAGCACTTAAAGGTTTAGAGTCATCTGGCACAGCTATCCCGGATGCGACCAGCCCTTGGCCCTTGAGAGTATGGAATATACAACCAGTCCATTGATGAAACACCATGAGGAGACTTCTATTCCGTATGATGGCGGCGCAGTTGGTCGATGCCTGCATTTATTGTTTTGTATGCCTCACGGAACATGGACACTATGTCCCATATACTATATAATGCGCATCTGTTCACGTGGAAACTTTCGGCTTCGGCTTTCCCAGTATAGACGTGTTTACTGCCCCAAGGATTCTGGAGAAGGTTAGTAGTAATCCAGCCTAGACGCAGTTTCCTGAAAACTAAACTAACGCATTATAATAATCCTAGGCAAGCACTGCCTATGCATCCTATACCAACGCTCTTCTCATTCTCAATCGCAGGATCGAATTCACCCACAGCTTCAGAGGAAGAAGAGGAGAATAGAAGACATCGTGGCGGCCTGCTCCCAAGAAGAAACCGGCTACATATATAACACCTATGCTCTGGGATGAGCTTATCTCCACAAGTGTCCAAATTTGCTGGAAAGCAAACCCGAAGTCAACCTTGCTGGCTGGACCACGAACCTCCTAGCAAAGGAAGAAGTCGGAGCTAACCCAAGAAGCCAGAGTGCCAGTCCTGACCACGGCATGGTGCTGCAGAGCTCCGTGCAGATATCTATGCCAGCAACTTTGGACGGGTCAAACTTTTGCAGAGAGCAATGTATAGCTTCTCCCGTCCCGGTGTTCGCGAAGCAAGGCTCGAGTTCGCTCGACGCGCATTTGTAACTAACTACAGTATTTGGAAAAGAGGCCTTACGATATTAGATACTCGATTCCAAGCTGATCGTTTCACTTGGGACAAACTACAGTTGACCAAGAAGTTTAAGGCATTTACAACGGAAGAAGTTAGACAAAGATCTGAACTTTGAGCGGTGCCCAGTATTCCCAATGATAATGGTCAAGGAGTAACCAGCGTTTGCAGCGTTGATGGCAAGAGGTTGTTTGGTGTTTCTGGACCAGCTAATCGGAGATATCATATTCAAGTGCTTTCTGGAATGACAGGAGACATACAAGTGAAGGAGCGACTCTCCCCAATGGTGCATTATACTCGAGGGCAAGGTTCGTGGTACTTGCTATGCTCTGGAATTTCGTTTCGAAAACCATACTCGCGTCAAGTCTACCTCTATCGACATGTAATGCTGTGGTCTGTTCTCTCTCGAAAGATCTGTCTCTGCATGGCTTGATACGGCGATGTATTTTGGATAAGATTTGAAAGTTGATAGTACCTTTGGAGTATATATACAAGCGAGCCTTTGGGGGCGATGTATAAAGATGGTGTGATCATGATTCTTAACTGACACTCATGTACTACATGTATCTATTCTAATTAACATAGATACATCTTTACTAGTATATTTAATACCAAGTTGATTATATCCTTCAACTAGCTACAATAAGTGTAAGATAGATTGCCTCGAAGTCATCAAATAAGATACACTTTACTTCTTACCAGCTGGAAGAAAATGATGCCAACAAAAGCCGAGTCGGAACATCTGAGCCACCGTATGTAAGTAATTGATTTCTTTTTTCTTTTCTTTCCTTTTCTTTTCTTTTCTTTTCTTTTTTTTTTACAGGGAAAGAAAAGTCAAAAAGAGAGAACAAAAGAGAGGGGGTAAAAAGGCATAATTCGTTCATTCCAGTCAGTCCAGGATGCAGTTACACTGCTAGGAACATCTCAACCTAACTGGAAATATAGTGTCAAGCCAAAGTAGCCATTTCTACCACTTCTGTGAGGAAAGTCCATCGCACAGTACAGCAAGTAAGCAGATAGTAATTGACTTACAGGGACAATTAATGGAATGAATCTAACGAAAGGAGATATGAAAAGTTGAATAATAATAAAAAAAGTAAAATAAAATAATGAAGATAATAAATGAATAAATGAATAAGAGATTAGAACATATAGTAAATAAGTAATAAATATAGAAAATATGTATATAATAAATCAAATCGCCTGTTTCAGCCAACCGCAGCAATGTATGCTGAATTCTATGCTTCACAAGGTCGAAATAACCCGAAGAAAATCCCAAGTCCCAATGTAACCACTACTGCATCCAGTATCAGAGAATAAGCTGGAATCTGGCAATGAGACGCTCTCAAAGCCAGTAATCCAGTCGATTACTTTGGTTATCGTACGAAGACGCCTATGCTAGGATGGGGTGTCCTTGTTTTGGAGGCAGGGATTAGTAGGGTTGAAAAGAGACATACGGCCAATCGATGATCGGCAACACGGCATCTGCGGAACTGATATAGCTCAATGAAATTACGAGAGCATCATATCACTTCCAGTACTTTATACACATGGCAATATGGAAGGCTGGCGTAAAACGGACTTCGGCGGGTTTGAGGCCGGCATGAGCGACAACTATCAACAACCGACCAAGCAATCAACCAACCCAACTCAACTGAATCCTTTGATGCAAGTTTTGATCAGGACGCAGAGACACAATTCAACGGAGCTTTCAGGGTCCAATAAATGACAGTCTGCTACATTTCATGTGTCGGATTGATTGGCTAGTATCCGTCGTTGGGTAAACGCTCGTAGGCGCTTTGAGGCCCGGGCTCAATGGCCAACAACACTACCTTATAGTTCGGCACAGCCTCGATATTGTAGCTCCGACCAGATGTCGGCATTATGGCAAGGCCGAGGAAAGGTCCGATGGTGGCGAAGGCTTTGACTCTCAGATGGAAGCGATGAGGCCCTGGGTGGTTGAGATACGCCATTTGGATAACGCCAAATTATTTTTTCACTGCAGTGAGCACACACATATAGCCCAGTCATGCCGCATGCGTGTTATTATACTTTGCCTTCCGCCTATCTTACGCTTGGTTACTCGGTCAATCGCACTCGATATACTTGCTGGCTTAACTCGTCGTTATTAGTCCAGAAAGCGAAAATGGGCAGAACATACACACGCCCCGAATTCCTCCTTCTGATCTTCTTGGCGGGCGCCGTGAAACTTGACGGAGCCAAGGTCATCCTTAACATTTTGTCTACTGCTGTTCTATCCAACAATTATTGGATGGATATTGATCAGAAACATTCCGGTACAGGCATTTCGATGGCTGAAAGGGAAAGCCAGTTCCTTGTGCTCGGAGTTCGTCTCTCAGCGCTTGGACGCTTGGAGACATTTCCTGACTCTTCTTGGCATCGAATTGGAAGCTATAAGAGCATGTGCGGTCGAAATTGCTGCTAAAGTCCGTCCAGTGGTGGTGGCTGTCTTGAAAGAGGTCCAGGAGGCCACTGTGGAGCTCTATGGTTTTGTGGTGGCTGCATTCAGAGCTATCAAGCAATAGTTTGCCTGCAAGGAACAGGCCAGCCAGGAGCATGATGAACAGGCGCGAAGTATGTTTCTCTGACCCCAATTCAATGACACTGTTCTCATTTTCACAGATGCTTGGTGTAAACGTGTCGTTCTCATCGTGACAGTAAAGTCGGGTAGGTCCTACAAGGCAATCAAGGACGCCCTAGGAATTGATAACGACTCTCCTGTCTTTACTCGGGCCTGCAGCCAGACTGAGTCACTTCCACCACCACCCTCGTTCATGCGCCATTTTGCCGTTTTCTTAGTACCACAGGCGATATGGGTAGATGAGACAATGAATCTGTTGCAGAAATTCGAACACGGATCGTACTTCGAGCTCGTCGGCCCCGATATGACTGACAAGGAAGGTGGTGGTGTCTGCTGGAGAGAGGAAAAGGTCCGAAGCATAGATGGGATCGAAGAGGTCGGGTTGGTCACTTACGATAACGAAGCAATAATTGAGTCATGTGAGTCGCATACGCTGGCCTTCAAGATATCTACCAGAGCTAACCAGACCGGAACGGTTAGTTTACAACCCCCTGCGAAAAGCATGGGGAAGATATGACACTATCTGGTGGAACTGTTCTGATTTCACCATCCGACTAGCATGTATGATTCTGCCAGACCCTGACCACAAGCAGCTCCTGCGACGACTGCTGCTATTTATCTGTGACTCTCGCTTATGGGCTCTCAAGTACGCTATCAACAAATCGCACGGCAGAATGTTTACGACGGGTTGGGCTGGTGCCATGATCTCAGGGTTGGGCGTTTTCGGATCTGCTCTCTTGGTAGGAGCGGCCCCTGTCGTGTTCCCAATTGCGTGCGTGGGATCCTGTACTTTTGGTTTGGGAAGCGGGATTCTGGGCTCCTGGTGAAGCGGTCGCGTTGGTGCCAAAGAATATCCTGAATGGAGGAGACGATCAGATAAATTGGAGCAGCAGTTTCCCCAGCTTCGGGAGTTGATTGGGGAGTGATTGGCTTACAGTCATCCCACATGGTAGCCGTCAAGAGACAGGAGAAATGGTATTTTAAAGGAGTTCAAGAAGGAAAAATGAGTATAGAAAGCTAGCAGGCTGCAACAAGACACATCAACGTTAGTACTCTCCTTCATGCAATGGAAACACCTCGCAAGTGTATCAGCGAGCCAGTCTCCAAAACCAGGTTATGAGAAGCCGCTCTATGGATGATAGTGACCACAATGGGTCTGTGTCTCCCACAGGAAGGGTAAGAAGAACAAGAGAGGAAGCCAGAAACCCCAGCAGAAAGTAGTAGAAACGAGCCTCAATCACCTGACGCATACGAGTCATTCAGCAGAGAAACCACTCCATCAGAGAAAGATGCTACCGGCATACTTCCACAAACCTAAGTCACAGAATGACAAATCCATAATTCGAACACCAACCAATCTATCCGTAACAATTCCCCCACGATGTAAATGACGAACTACTATAGTAGAGGTGTACTAGGATCGGATGGATCCATCTATCCATCTAACTTGACCCCTAGATAGACTGAAGTAATAATCTAAGGCAAGCCGTTGAAACGCCCCCCACCGGCCGTACTTTATCGCCATTCGCTCAACGTACAGCTTACTCTAATCGGTATGGAGAACGTCCCTCATAACCGGTCGGTCCAAAGTGTAAAAGAAGGGCCTTGGGATCCTTTCGCTTGTCTCAACTCGGATCCTTCCTGCAGGTATCTTTGTCGGGACTTTTCTTTTTCCTTGGAGCCAAGAAATAGCCGATTGTACGAATGAAATCAATTGCATGCTAGGACTCTGGGTCCAGCCAAGTTGTCAGAATAAGACAAGTCAGGTAAGAAGATAGTAAGCTGACAGCTGACGATCCGATCCGATCAGCTCACCCGGCACACGACCCCAACCACCTACAACAAGGAAGAATAATCACATTTGCGCACGCACACCAGACTAGTGGGTTTATAGTAATTTTTTTTATTCTTCTCATTATCATCTGAATCGTCTATTCTAGGATATTATGGTATGTTTGGTAGTGTGTATGTGTGTGTGTTCCCACCCCTGTCTCAGACAAGAGTAAAACCCACTTGCTGCTAACTAGGCACGCACCGGCAAAACCCTTGCACAGCCTCGTCCGGTGCCAAGGGCAGTGCAACTCGACTCAAACTCATCACACCCTTACCGAAGCCAATACCCCCGTCGAATAGAAAGATACAGGGCCTGTTCCTCACGGACAGATGGCACCGGCTGGTTCGCCCTTCGACTGCCGATTAATGTGTGCACGCCCACCCGTTCGCGTCCGATATCTCCGATGGCTGGTCGCTCCATGCCTACTGGGGCATCACACTCGTCCGCTGGCAGGGCGCCTGCTCCACCACGGGTGAGATTCATGCTCTGTAAGCCGGGCAGGCGTAGCGACGGGTCGAAATTGATCAGCACAATCGCCTGATGTCCGGTCCCTTCCAGGCCTTCCTGATCAACCGAGTACACGAGGGACCGTTCGTCGGCGGCTGCCCGAACGGGGCCACAGCGCTTCGATGGGCAGAGGAGCTGAGTCAATTCCCGCGGGGCGTTGTCGGGGGGCCACAGACGGACCCCGCGTGAGGCGTAGCGTTCTTCGCTGTGCTCAATCGGCTGGCCATCTGCATCGCTGAGTTCGGGGCGGAAGAGCAGGCCCGGTTCGCCTTCGTCCCCGTTCTCGTCAATGGGACATTTGCGTTTGCGTGATACCATGCGCACACGGAGTCGGTCATGGGGGATGAAGCTGCCGGGGGTGTCCGGAGAGGGGTCGTTGACCAGATCGATAAACGTCGAAGCGGAGAGGTTGTAGCTGCGGAATTTGGTTTTGGCAAGAATGTAGTCTTGTCGGTGGGCCGGTTCCCCGCCGTGTGCGTATTCCTGGTGGAAATGCCGGCGTAGACGCTTACGCGGGGGTTCGTAATTGGGTTTGCTGGTGGAGTCGAGGGTTCTGGTGAGAGGCTCGTCAGGGAGGGTGACAGGCGTTGCGTTGGGCGTGGAATGCAAGCCTTGCTGCTTATTCTGAGTGGCTTCGGCTGGGGACGGTAAAGGCTGCATGTAATATGTGCGTGCATTTTCGCTCCTACCATCGCGCCATTCCCGGCGGCATTCGAGGATCATCAGTCGCTTGGTTGCCTCATCCTGGCGCAGCGTGAGATCCGACCAGGTGTCATTGATCGGGCCTTCACGATGCTGACGACGCCAAGTACGGTTGGGCGTGATGAATCGTTTGGCGGCGTTGGACTTGGGGGGAAGGCAGAGCCACACGTAGTACGAGGTCCAATCGACCTCCTCCGCTTCAAAGTCAACGAGCGTTGACACTGCGTAGAGGTGGTCCTGATGAACTTCAAAACATACGGTCTGCCCAATCTCGCTGCCGGCGAAGTTTTCCAGCACGGTTGGCTTTTCAGTCATGTGCTGGCTTGTTTTGAGATCCACACAATGGATTGCCCATTGTGAGTAGCCACGATCCCCCATGGCGGTGTGCGTTCCGTAGTACAGATAGGAGCCATTGTGTCGAACGAATAATCGTCGTGTGTGTTGAAGCCGAGTCAGGAGACGGAGTCGTCCACATTTCTTGTTGGTCACTTTGCGTCGCATGTCCACTACCAGAAGCCAGGCTTCGGGTCTGTCTACAAACTCCACTGTAAATGCCAGAACCCAGTTACTGTAGTACATGAGGCAGACCTGGAACGTATCTGTCTGTGGATTGCACCCTTGGATAGCCCGGGATAGGACGTTGTGGATGTTCAGCACCTGCTCAACTTGGCTGGCACCGTGCACGTCTAGAACGCGGATTTCATCGTTGTAGATGTAGCTGAGACAGCCCTCACTGTAGATGAAGGAGCTCGCATAAGCCAGAATGGAAGCAGAATACGGCTGTGCTGTTGCGAATGATTCCTTGATGTCGAACAGGCGCCCGAGAGCCCTGCGATATCCAGTCTTGGCCTGGTGTGCCTGTTGTCCTTCCTTCGTGTGCAGTAGATCATTCTAAAACAGTCAGTATAAGACGCAATTCACAAACAAAGAGGTGCTACTTACTTGGATTGTCTTGCGCGCAATTGACTCATTTTGCACCAACTGATTTAATGTTCGGTTAACGCGGCTAAGATGAATGAGGTCTTGACAGTCGAGGGTAGAAGCCACTTGGTAGAATACATCATAAGGGATGCTATCCAAATTTCTGACCATTCCAGAAGTGACCATGGCGAATGGCAGGGCTGCAGACCATATATGGAGAACGGAGGAGGAGGAGGAGCAGAGAGGAGGGAAAGGATGCGCGCACTGCCACACCGCACTTATACCATCGACGAAACACAGTATGGGCGAAAATATGAGAATCAACAGAAATAATGGCGCGGATGACCCCACGTATGGTTAAACACAACGTCACTCGATCAGTGAGATGTTAATGCCCAAACGTGAATGTTGGTTATCTTGGATTCACTGCTGATCGGAGGCGGCCAGGTAGTATACAGAGTGTTGGTAAGGATGTTACTGATCCACATTGAAAAAATAAGGTTTAGTGGAACAGCACTTTAGACAACAAACAGCCATGCACTGGACACATGGACGCGTCTGGAGAGAGAGCTGTTGAACAGCTGCCATGGTTTAACTAGTCTTAATGCCGCTGGGGACAATGCGGCTCTGTTGTTGTGCCTGGGTAAGCTTTGCATGGGAACGTTCAGAGGGGCGAAGGAATGAGAAAAAAAGTGGGATATTAGGCCCGAGAAGCAACATCATTGGCTTGAGGGACGCGGGAAGCATACCATCTGGGAGACAGGAGGATGGATCATAAACCTAACTAGTAGATAGCCCAAGCGGCGGCACAGAGCGACAATGCGAAGAGAGACAGGCATCAGCAGCGATTTTCAGCTTAGCTTGACGAGGGAGGGGCGGTCAAGCGGTAAACCCAAAACGGGGGGTGATGAGAGACGGTCTCAATGGGGAGCCTCATAGTGGGAATGAAAGTTCCGTACCCTGGAGAGCATTTGACGCGTTACCAGGGGACAACCTGGGCAAGGCTGCATTCGAGTGAGCCGTGCGACTGACTGCCACTGTTTAGGCAGTGGCATTGTTACTCATGTTTACTACTGACACTACCACTACCACTACCACCACCACCACCACCACCACTACTACTACTATTACTACTACCAGCTGGTCCAACGCTAATTTTAGTAATGACCGACCGTAGAAAAGGCACACCTCTTTTTGCCCCCCTTTCGGAATTGGTAATCGGACCAGACTCTTGAGGGAGGCCAGACCAGAATAGGCAGTGACGAAAAAACAAACCAAACCAAAATCATTTGGAGGCTCAACTGCCCAGCCGGATGGAGACGCGGCCGTGGCCAAGGGGCGTAGTAGTAATAATTAAAGGAGCAATGATGTTTGAAGGGGAAGGCGAAAGAAGTTACGCAAGGGAGGCGGCGGGCTGGGAGTGACTGAGGACTCCGGAATACTACTGTACTAACCCACTCGACTAACTGGTTTGGGCCATGGATTTCATCATCCATCGGACCTGCGCGGCTGCCATCATTTGCAGCCTCAAAGCCTCCATCTCAGTCACCTGCGGAGCCGCGTGCCTCCCATCTCCCGATCGCCCAACCCGGTCACGGAATTCCCCTCTTCGGTGGGTTTGAAATCTCAACACGAAACTTTGAGCTAATTTAGTATGCAAAAGAGGAGGCTGAAATGAAGGCTGAAATGAAACCTCCCCCTCTCTCAAAAAAAGAAAAACAATCAAATGGCGAGACCCAACGGTGGCAATTCGCAACGCTTTGCGGCTGAATCTATTGGTGCACTGATGCCTGAGGCCTGTAACCCCGTGAGGCTGCGATGATCTCTAATCAACTTCCTCGACTAGTGCGGCCCCCTTTCATTCCTCCGTCGGCAACCACCGGTGGGTATATCGCGCAAAGGGGCCACTGGTCATCTTGGTCGGGTGATAACCGTATTTCGGAGCTACGTCAGGGTCATCCTGCATTTCCGTACGAAGATCCTTCATTCATCAGCAAACTCCTGCTCCTCCGATCCCACTTTGCGTTGATCAGAGCGCCAATTGACTCTCCAATGGCCGTTGTCATACTAGGAGCAGGCTCCCGGCGGCATTCTGGTGATAAGGCCGGGGCATCCCGTGGCATGCATCAACCCCGCTTGCACTGCCTCGAATCTGCGTAACGGGCTCGGATAGCCTGAAACAGGTACCGAGCACTATCAAGGGAGGAACGCACGGAGCCCTGAGCTGCACGTTTGGACCACATCAAAACGAGCAGGGAGTGAGTGTGTTCTGGACCCTTGATGGGTAAGCACTTGTGGTCGAGGTGATGCGGGATCACTTGCTTGCTTGCTAACAGCCTTGTCGATTGCCCCAAACGTGCAACAACGCGTGGTCCGTGGCATGTTCTGCTGCCAATAGGATATATGCCGGTAGAGATAAGCACTTGCCATGTTTATTATTTCTTCTCTGTGACTGCGGGGGTGATTGTGATCTATACATTGCTGCCGTCATCGTGGACGATCACTGCGGCTTCTCCCGCAAAGCACAATCTCACGATGCTCGATGATCGCAAGACTTGCCTTGGGGGCCAAGGGTGCGCATATCGGCCGGCCAAGTAATGGCACAGAGCATGCGGACCTCGCGGATCCTGGATCCATGGAAGTCCGGGCGAATGAGGTGAGCATTGCTGCTTCTTGCTTCGCTTGATGACTGTTGTTGTTGCTGTGAAGGGCGCACGCCATGCTGATTGTGGTCAAGCGCCAAGATGCGGTCACGAGAGGCAAGGCTAGCCGACAATCAATGTGCGGAGCAAATGTCAGTTAGTTAGTCTGAGAGAGGGCCACAGTCAGCGTGTCGATAAGTCGTAGGCCGACCAGGTTACTTAAAAGGCTCCGTAGGGGAAGATTTCCTTGAGCCGATTGAATTGAGGCAGGGTCAAGACACCATTTACCTTGGCGATAGAACATCTTTAAGCGGAGCACAACATTATGTTCACTGCTAGTTTCGAACACCTGTTTTCGGATTGTCTCTTCGAATGCATGCTGGTTGAATTACCTTGACACGACTAATAGAACTCCTGGTTCAAGTTGCTGAGAAAGAAGCATATCCCAGGAGACAAGTCAAGCAGAAGAATAGAAAGCGATGCATGTGGGAAACTCAAAGGTACTCAAGGGTATGCGGTGCCAAGCTGACTGTACTCTACCTGTGGCGAGGATTGCGTAACCTGGAGATACCAGGAGGCCAGGGATATGCAGACTTGACGAGTGTCATGTCCGGATGACAGCATCCTCAGGTGTCAGGTGACACCGCCAGAGCAAGACTGTGGTGCGAAGATGTATAAAACCATGCTTGTCCAACCACCACGACTCACCGATTAGGATGGATCCTGCAGAACTAACTGAAAGACCGACCGAAAGAATCGGTAGTAGTGCAGCTAGAGCAGATGATGATGATGATGATGATGCAAAGATAGTTACTAACTACAACTACTTCACACTAATGCCCCGCGCCACTCCAGTGCCCCAATTTTTGATCTGGTGGATTGGTCACGTTTTCCCAGGTGACCCCAGATCTTCAACGCCCGGCCAAGTTTGTACAGCACAATTATTGATCGCCCTACCCGCCATGTTGCAAGTACTTCATTGCCTAGGGGGGGCAGTGCAGACCTATCAGCAGTGCATGTAGGGGGACACCGCCCAGCGTGACCAGCATTGGCGGGCAAACTTACAAAGTACTACGACTGGGCAACATCCAAGGGGATTGGCTGGTGCCTAAAAGAGGGCTGCAGCGAACATTCCGGAAAGTTGCCCCGAATGGACAAGCGGGGAGGAACTGGAGGCGGTGGTTCCATGGAAGACGATGAGCTGTGACCGCAGATTCGTTGCTGGCGGGTTCCTTATCGGGCCCAGGGCAACGTTAGAGGCCCAGTCTTCGGGTGAGATGAACTATGATTCCTCCTAGTAGTACTACTGCCTGCAGTCACATTAAAATTGAGATGGATCGGCAAGAAAACCGGCCAGGTGGTTGGTCAGGTGAAACGACCTCAAAAAGGTGAAGAAGATTAGAAGAGTGGTGTATGTGCATCGAAACATCCAGAATAGGGGCTAAGTACCTTCTGTCATCTTTGAGAGCCTCCAAGGATAAGCAGCAGATAACGAGGGAAAGACACAAAGGGGGGAATGAGGAGATGCCGATAAAGCCGAACCCCTCCAATGCCACGACTTCCAAAGCCATTTCCATCCTTTCTTTCTGCCCTACGCCTCGTGCACGACCCACGCAGCCATCACCGAGCCAATGACAACTCAACTCGGGCAGTGGAGAACGGGCCATCAGCCAGCCCTGTGACGGGCCAGGGAATCCAATTCATCCTGCTTAAATCCCACCCGTTCACCGTTTTTCTTCCCTTCTCCCCCTTCCCTTTTCTTTTCTTTTCTTTTCTTGCAATAAAGTCATTCGAGATCCTCGCGTGCTCTCTAGATCCCCCAGAATAGTCCAGGTTCCTTTCCCAAGTTCATCAGCGTACACCCGGTGGACCGGTTCTCGACAGACCCTCCCTCCCCACTGTCTCTGTATCTCCGCACAAACACACAGACCACCATTTCCCCTCGTCGCTTACTCTGATACCCTCGATCGTCTCTGAAGTCATATTAATTGCTTTGCGACTCCCCCGCTCACGGCACACTTCCCCTCACCCGTCTGATGTACTACCACCACTCCCACCAGGGTTGGTCTGGTGACTACCCTCGTCAACAATCGTGGGGACAACCCCCGCCATCATCCTATCCTTACCCGTAAGCCTCTTCGCCAGGAACTCCATGCGCGAATGACCCCCCCCTAACCAGCCTCTCCAGATACTCATCCAACGCGCAATACCAACCTCCTCCTGGCCCACCCCCGACTTCGCATTACGCACCGCCGCCCGGCCCCCCGCCATCTCACTACTATCCTCCCCCGGGTAGTTACCCGTCCCCGGCCCCTTCTCCTTACTACGGCCAGCACCATACCCCTACGCCGCCCCCTCAATCATCCTCGCCTCACCAACGGTCTTATCACAGTAAGAGAGCTCTTCCATATCAATATGTGACTCAAGCCATACTAACTTCATTTAGACCACTCGCCGTCATGGGGTCAGAACCTCCCGCCCCGCCCGCCTCAGGAGTCGCAGCACTTTGGCAGGGGCGCCCCATCCAATTACCGCTTCCAGTATTCCAACTGTACCGGTCGGCGTAAAGCCCTCCTAATTGGTATTAATTACATCGGACAGCCAAACCAGCTGCGCGGGTGTATCAACGATGTGACCAACATGTCAACCTTTCTGAACGAGAAGTATGGGTATCGGAGGGAGGACATGGTCATCCTCACGGACGATCAGAAGAACCCGATGAGTATACCCAACAAGGCCAATATCCTTAGGGCCATGCAATGGCTGGTGAAGGACGCGCAGCCCAACGACTCTCTCTTCATCCATTTTTCGGGACACGGTGGTCGTACACCCGATCTGGATGGTGACGAGGAAGACGGTAGGGCGCACCCGAGAAAATTAAGAAGATTGTTACTGACATCTCAGGCTACGATGATGTTATTTACCCGCTCGACTACCGCACCGCAGGACATATCGTGGATGATGACATGCACGCCATCATGTAAGCAATCCTTCGTGATTTTCCTCCTCGTCAAGACTGACAGTCCAGGGTTCGTCCACTACGCCCCGGTGTCCGTCTAACCGCCATCTTCGACTCTTGCCACTCTGGAACTGCACTCGATCTCCCCTACGTCTATTCCACGCAAGGTATCCTGAAGGAACCCAACCTGGCTAAGGAAGCAGCGATGGACCTATTCAGCGCCATCAACTCCTACGGCAAAGGCGATCTCAGCAGTGTCGCGCAAACTGCTATCGGCTTTTTCAAGAAGGCCGCCAACGGCGACACCGCGCGCCAACGGACTGTCATGACAAAGACCTCGCCCGCCGACGTGGTCATGTTCTCCGGCTCCAAGGACACCCAAACCTCGTAAGTAGCCCTATCCACCGATTTAATCTCTCGTTCACCTACTTACCATCAACCTATAGTGCGGATACATTCCAAGACGGTGAAGCCCGCGGAGCCCTGAGCTGGGCTTTTATCAAGACCTTGCAGCAACGACCAAACCAGAGCTACCTGCAATTGCTCAACTCGATCCGCAATGAACTGGAGGGGAAATATACGCAGAAGCCGCAGCTGAGCTGCAGTCATCCATTAGGTATGTGCAATGCATCACTAGTTCCTCCTAGGACGGAGATTGACTAACTGATTGCCGGTTAGATACCAATTTGCTTTTTGTGATGTGAGACGATCACGCAACACGATGCATAGCGAGAGGTGATTTTTGGTCCATACTTTACATGTGCATATATAAACTCTCAAACTATGGAGTTTCGGAATTTTTCATTTTTATCATGACAGTATTGAATGAATGAGGTATTACATATTTACTGTACACAATGAAACCACGGGGGTGGAAATACTCCGAACGCTATTGATGCTATAAACTTACTGTGCTCCCTAGTACCTGTCTGAACTTCAAACACTCCAGCTACGCCACCAACACTTCCCAAGCCACATTTATCAGACTCAGAAAATAGTTCCTTGGCGATTCTATATGGCCACCACTTTTAGGCAACACAACAACTACATACCATACAGCTCCATTGTATTACACTATGCATCTTCCAGATATACCAACTATTGAGTATCATAGCCATACACGTACCAAGTACTAGTATGTCACGTCATTTAATTACCTGGCGAATAATCCCCACTAAAACCCCCAGATCACATATACACATGTAGATGGTAGATATATGGATGCCAATATTCTCCGTACCCCAACTAATTATTGAATAAATGTTAATATTATTACCTAACAGAATTAACAGATCTTGACTGAACTAGCGATCTATATTCCCCCTTTTTGGGGATTCGCACGCCTTGCTTGAGATCTGTCATGTCTGGGGTCAGATCATAAATATCTTGGGAGTCCGTGTGGGGTGAGTAAGCGGATATAAGTACTCCGTACTAGTTAATTAAATTAGGGGTTAGATGTGATAGGTTATATTGGGGTTCCATGTTGGTATTACTTGGTTACTTGCTTGCTTACTAGGAAAGGGGATTCTTGTTCTAAGTAGTTAATGAGGCTGGGTAGTGGGTTTAAGTGGTGGTATTATAGTAGGGTGAAGTAAATACTCAATGTAGATCTATTTATATAGTATTTGTGATGGATTGTGCTATGCTGAGTGGTAGTAGTATCGTGTGTAGGTTTGATACTATATAGCAGTATACTCTGTTGCTCTATGTATAATATACAAGTAGTAAGTAAGTACTAAACTCGTGACTGTCGTAGTAATGTTGGTTAACTACTAAGCAACTAAAATATACACAAGTAGTACTAAATACACGGTAGTAGTTATTCCTTCGACACCGAACTACTCACTACTAGTAGTATTTCCAAGAGTCTAAAGTATCAGCCTATTGTGGCTGAGCAAGCACCTCCCATCATCATGTCTAAGACACCTGCCGTTTGATTCAGGTATATATAGCAATAACCACCACCAGTACTACTACTATAAATGGCCTCTTTGTATGCACATATATGCCGGGCAGTTTAATGTATTGACGTACATACTGCTTCAGCTAACTGTTACAGTAGCAGTCGCAGAAGTTAATTAAATACTCCCCCCTCCCCTCCTCCCGGAGATTTATGCATATCTGCCTACTTTCTTCCTAGTATTCAGCATCTAAGGGTATTGATACTATGCAGGCAAATTCTTCGAGTTACTGGGGTATAAGCAGATAATATATTTACAGCCTTACAGATAGATGAATGGATAGAAAGATGATTATTGATTTCAACTATGTATGTAGTATATCTTGGTTGCCCTGTGTATGATTAATTAATTTGTGAGTATTTCCCATACGAGGTAATTTCTCAGTATGAAGAATTACAAAAGTAAGATACAGACATAATGCCAGCAATCTCCGCTGCGGCCCCCTGTTTCAGTCTGTTTCTCTTGGCAAGGGTGTTTGTTCAGTGGGTTGCCGTCGGGCTGATGTTCGTCTTACTCAGTGGGAGGGTGGGGTCGGGTTTTCCGGGTCCTCATTTCGTATACCATGAACTAAGTATCTAGTCTAATTTACGGGATAGGGGATTGTGAAGATTTTGCACTCGAGTAACTAATTGACTAGTATTTTACTACAATAGGGGCTGAGGAATATCGGGATTATCGGCACGTAGTAGTCTCTACTGCTAATCTATCAGATGCAAATTGAACTCCACTATATCTGACTCGATGTCGTCTGTGGCTGGGTCGGGTGGGGAACTCTGAGTAAGTAAGGCTGGTGCGTGATCTGCGCTGTTGTATAACGCTAGAAAATCTCAGATGAGATGAGATGAGATGAGATGAAATGGCTGGGCGTTGAGGGGTTTTCTTTGCTGTGTTGGTTGTTGGTTGTACGGAGGATGGGGCAGAGGTGACATCGATGGTAGATACTTGGTTAGGCGATGTAGTACAGAACCCACCAAGAATAGTATACTGAATCCCGGTTGCGGTGAGCTTCTTTGAACAAAATAGATCGTTCTTGTCAAGGGAGCTGTGCTTGCGCCGTTTGGTGGAGTACAGTGTGCCGGTAAATCTCTGCAATGGTTCCTGCACTTAGCTTGTGGATAAGGGTAATATAATCTCTTGGCTGGCGAGATAGTATATTCGTGTGGACTGGGTTGGGTTCGCAGGGTCCGAACTTCTCATCTCAGATTCGTTATGCCGTGTCTCGAACGACGGCTCGTACAATGGCTCATTTAATAATGCCATGCACTTTGGTCGTCAAACATGCCTAATTAGAGCTCTAGTCGCCTCGGCAGAGAGCTGAAAGTAGCTGGATGCTGCGGCAGATAATGTGCGTCTCGTTTGCATTCTCCCGGACAGAAAAGCGAAGGGTCAAGACAACTGATACCAGCCTTCGCTGCCTCATTCGCTAGCCTCCATTGCGCAAGGTCTATTGCTGCATTTTTAGTGTCAATGAGCATATATGATCAGACATATTCCAGAGCATCATTCAACCGCAGGATCGAAGAACTGAGTTCACTAGTTAGCTCACAAGAACGATCTGAGCAGTCCAAAATCAACCGCAATCGATGCTTGGTACTGTGTAGTGTGCAATATCAGTGTGACCCATCTGATCCACTCAGGCGGGATCGTGGCTAGATCCGAGATTTGTAAACAACCCGTAGCGCTTGTTGCGACTCGCGAGGGTATGGAGCATGACGGGCCAGGCCAGATCCGAGGTCAGTCGCAACCCACAGGATCTGAAAGTAATCTCGCCACTTGATATACGGAACAATGTGCGATGCGAAACAAGTAACGCGTCATTCGCGACTGCGCTTTGTCCAAGGCTCCATCGGAGGTCGGAAGATGCGCAGAAAAGCGTTGACTAAGGTGGAGATCCGGAGCGGTGGCTGTACGGCACATCGCATAGCCGTAAGACGGGACTAGCAGGCTAGCTGGCTGGCTGGAGGTAAAGTATTATACTTCTGCCTGGTGACAACAAACCAATGTCGTGTCAAAAAATCATTCCGTATTCTCGGGGAAAAGGACTCAACATGACCGCTCGGTTGATCTGCCCGAGTCCACTTGCTGAAAAACTCTGACCAGCGATCCTCACAAATGACAAAGCTTGGTATTGATGCAGGTGAGACATCGGAAAAGGCGTGATGGCTGAGGTGGTGCTTGCGCAGACTTCCATGACTCGGAAGGCGATGAAAGGCAGGCTGTGTGAGAAGCAGAGGAACAGAAATAGTATCCACTACCATTTCGTACTGCATGGGATCCAAGCTCAGTCGGAGCCGGAGTTGGTTTCCGAGTTGAGTAATGAATGACCAGCGCTCATGGCACTTACCGTCTCTAGACTGCATTCATTGAGACAGCAAAGGAAGCTGTAGCGATTCGCGCAACGGAGGCACTGAAAATTGGTAATCACACCATCCGAGTCCATGGGGACAACGTAATGCCAAAACAGTAACAAAGATAATTACTGATTTAACAATACTATGGTACTGCGGTTCCATTGAGCCGCAGATATCATGTCAATAAGGTGCCGTGATCGGCGAACCACGGCTGATCGGGGCTATTAAAGTTGAGTGAAAAAAAATGTCCAGCACTCCAGCTGGCTGCCGTGGCAGCTTGGCCCGCTGCCATTGGCAAATGCGTCCAGACATGGCCCCAGTTGGCTTTTTCTAAATGGGACGCCAGCAGCCGCTCCTTCGGGTTCAGGACGGCGTCCACCCAGCAGATTTTAAACCAACCACGAAGCGCCTAAAACTATTATTTATTTTTCAGGGTAAATGCAAGATTGCCAATTTCCCCGGAGCGATTCATGAACAGGGGGGCCACACCCTTGAAGCTCATTTCCTTAAAATTTCTTGGCCTTGAGATATTACTGCTTCGGGGATAGTAAGCACTATACGAGTAAGTTAGCGAGGGAGTGGGAGCTCGCTAGAAAACCTCAGACCTTCCCTCCTAGGCCAAAGTCAGTTACGAGCGGGACGGAGTCACGCCTACATCGCAGGCCAATCCCTGTGCAATGCTACGCACATGCCCGTGTCCGGACCCACCCGCAGCAGCCGTGAGGACCCGATGAGATCATGGCCCAGCCCCGATTTAGCGCTAGTGACTGCATCTGATTCGTCGATGCTGATGGATGGAGCTGGATGGGGTGGAGGGTGTTTCACCTTGCAGGCAACGGGCAATGTGGCTGGCTCTGCACCTCCACGCTAAGCCCGTTAGTTCTGGCCCTTTCTGGGTCATAGTGCAGCCCGTGGGTTTTACACAGATTATTATTGTTTATTGCTGCTTTACGAGAGAGGCAAAGAGAAGAAAAAAAAACACAGAGTCAGTGCCTACTTAGGCCGTGGTGTTCTGACTCTCCTACTAGGGGGTCTCCGCCCCCCGTTATATGACCCCATTAACCCATTAGCCCATTAACTTATGTCACTATGCATGTATGCACCTCGTATGAATGTATCCTGCAAGTCTCCAATACGGAAGCTTTACCATCCATAAGTACTTCCCAGTATGCAAGTAGGGAGCAGTAGTTGTAGACGGCTCTCTCGACTAGTGGACAGAAATCTCGCCATTCCGACCGGACTGTCTCTGATTATTGATGCCTACAGAGTAACAATAACCGACACAGTTGCCTTTTCAAAACATACACACATACACAAAGAGAGAGCAGATCCAATCGTACCGCATTGGCTAATCCGCAGTGTCCGGTGGGATGATACTACTAGTAAAGTCGTTGTCGTGGAGCATGGGTCCATGGGCCGCAGTCGTGTGCATCATCCGCGTACGTATCGATCCATAACGGCATAACCCCCCATACGCAGGCGCTGCACAAGCGATGCTCCAATGCATGTTTCATCTTGATATCTATCCATAGAAACAGCTGAATGCCAGCCATCAACCTGTCAATCCTCTGCTGGATTTCGTTGGTGGACGCCTCAATCGCCGCGTCATCCCCCAGAAGTGACGGCGGTTGGTTCACTCCAATCGGCTGGGTTCCTAGGAACGGCAAACGGCGAGCCGAGCGGTTAGGAGGACAAGGATCTGATATGGATGGAAGGCAGTCGAAGGACAATTAGCAGGATCTCGATCAGGAGTAGTTTGAAATGTTCCGTACCGTAGTTTTTCTAGTGAGGAGACCAGAGAAATTGGAGCTGGTCCACCATCCACGGAGTTCTCCAGCACTTTCGGAGCACCACCGGAGTGGGAGGGAGGGGAGAGGAGAGATGGAACCAAGCGATGTAAAAGTCTGGTTCAGTCAAACTAGACTGTACAGACACAAACACACGCTGTCTCCTCTTTCTGCGCCATCGCAACAAAGAATGGCAACAAAGGGCCAACATACGATCGGTACGGGTTACACGGGAATACGCCGCAGGAAAAAAAAAGTCCCCCCAGGTAAGGTATCCATTGTGTCTGTAATAAGCCAGTGAATACTCCGCGAGTCCCCACTTTTTCTCTCCTAGTGCTTGGGAGCTATAATTATAGTCCTGTATTAAGTATTTTTTAACCCCCATCCCATCCCATCCCTACACCGAGATCAGACGAACCGTCTGACTTGTCTGGAGTTGGACTAACCACCACCCGATTCTCTCGTTTCTTTTCCACCCCCTGCCGCTCTATCATCAGTCTTTTCTTCCCTCGATCATCTTCAGCCTCCGCGGCATTGCCTTGAATATACTTGCATTCCCACTTCCCCCAACTACTACTCCTCCTATATCCTCTTACCCCGGAGTATCTATTTACTATCGTTTCCGCCTAGTCCTATCCCACCCTCAACCTGTTCCTAGTATACAACCCACCACATTCGAAAGAATATGTTGACCTCCTCGTCAACCGACTCCTCTCGCTCCTCCTTCTCCGGCAGCCCCGTCTCGCAACACCCTCCTCACCATCAAGTATGGTTTCCTCCTGCTCCCCGCCGCCGTCCGGAACACTACAAGATCCCCCGCTACTACTCGACCCCCGTGAGGGAAGATGTCCCGGACTCGACCCCTCTGCAAATGTACGGCTTGGAGGAGCGCGCGCCATCCATTGCTGAGAAGCCAAAGCTCCTGCGTCGCTTTTCCCACGCCCTCGACGACATCAAGGAAGACTTGACCCTCCAGCCCAGCAGCGAGAAGATTCGGAGCAAGCGTCGCCAGTCCATCTTCGGGATAGATGAAATCCCGGGATCGAGCGGTTCGATCTCCTCGCCTTCTATGGATGTGCCTGTTGCGGCCGAACCACGGCCCCCGAGGTCCCGTCCCCTCTCGATACTCGCCTCCGAGCCCTCCAGGAGGCTAAGTCGGCGGTTTTCCATTTTCGGATCGAAACGGTCAAAGAAGTTGACACCGGGTCAGGCCGGGAGTATCTCGCAGCCCAATTTGATCGGGGCATCGACTCAGATATAATCTCATCATCGACTCTCGATATTGCATCATTGTCACCATCGCTATCGCCATTATCCTAATTGATCGACACGACGAGGGTTAATACACATAGACGCCGACAGCCGCCCCCCCGCACATACATCACCACAAGTACCAACATAACCGACCCATCCCAACCCAAGCATGCAACCCACGAACCCAAACCGCATCTTTATAATCGGAGTTCAGCACGGCGCGGCGAGCATCATTCGATCCTTTGATCTATAATACCAGTCAAAAGTCCTTCCTTCCATCACTTCTTCAATTCTCTCATACAATCATCTCCATACCTTCCTTATTGGGCCCATTTCTTTTCAATATTGAATACATTTTTCAAATTCTCATTTTCAATTCCCATTTACAAGGTTGGGTTTCCGCATTAGCTCGGTGTTCGGTGTTAAGTTTATCTTGCTTTGAGTTTTTGTTTGATTTTACCTCGGTATGCAGGTTTCCGTTCTGCTTCGCATTCTTCATTTGCTTTTCTTACAAGCAGAAGACGAATCGCAATTGCACATCCGACCAAAACATGTATTTATATACATACCCTTCCTTACCTCACACCTCCCGGTGGTCGGGTATACTTCTGTATATAGATCATGTATATATACATTGATTGATGATCATACATTTCCACTGCATGGGCGGCATTGTATAGCCTTTCGTCCCCACCAAAAAAAATTCAAGTCCTTTATACACACCTGCATCAATAGACGAAAGGGTTCCAAAGAAATACTACACACTGCAGTAGTACTATAGTAGTCAGTCACCTGCTGTATAGCACACTAAGAATAGAAGTAGAACAGTTCATCGTATCCGCCCACACTCACGCCAGGCACAACCAATCAACCCCGTATTTAACCATGTACCTGCATGCAACCAACTTATCACTATCACAGTTAGTTGCCTAGTTTTATCGTTATCATTATCATTTATCATTATCGTAAATTACCCCTCCGCGCTTAACCGTAAATTGCACCTCGTTATCGCTATCGCGACATACTAGTTAGTATCTTATCCTGTCGTATTGAAATAGGATCTGGTGGGGTGATAGTAAGTACATAGTAAGTTGTTAAATAGTATAGTAATATTGCAGATGGAATACTGTTGCAGCTAAAATAACATCATAACGTGTTCATTCATCATGGAGTAACTCTCCTAGGTAAGTAAGTAACTAGTAGGTAACCTGTAAAGTAAGTAAGTAGTAAGTGGGGAAAGAAACAAGTGACAAGGGTCTCTGCCTTGTTTTTCCTTTTTTCCCCTCACGGTTTAAACCCAAGCCAATACTTGGTTTAGTTGCCCTGCAATTCCGGAATTTCCGGGGAACGAAACGAAGGAAGTTTACCTTACCTTCCCCAATTTATTCTAGGCGAAAGAAAACCGAAGGGGAGGAGGGAGAAGAAGGTACCAGAACAATGCTGTGCCTAAGCGCCGGGAAGTGCAGGGGTGATGCTTTAGTGGTAGGGAGACAAGTTCGGTTGCACGAATGGATGAATGACTCGGCTATCCCCAGATCACTACTAGTTGGTTAACTAACTAACTGGTTGCTTCTGGAATACGTACATACCTGGAGACTCGATACTTGCCGGCATACTCTGTCTCCGAGTACCAGGGAAAGTAAAGTGGGACAGTGGTGTCGTACAGATGGGCGAAATTGGAAAAGGGGCGGTTAGTAGTACTTAATCCTTCCCTGTTTAATTTCCGGTTTTGATCTTCTGGCTGTTAAATGGCTTAGTCTTGGTACATAGGGAGTTAAGTGGACTAGGCTAGTAACTGTCCGGGCGTTATTGGGAGGGGTCAAGCTTTTGGTTTGAAATGAATTATGACACCATAAATAAATAATCTATGGGAGTGAAAGGGATGAATGTCGAAATGAGGGGGTAAATCAAGTACTAAGTAGGTAAGTGCTACTCCACTGTAGGGAAGTGGCTGAATTGGTTTGGACTCCGCCGACCGTCAAGCCCGAAAGGAAGAATAGATTAATTTCGAGTAGATAGATTAATAGACAGGAGTGGTGGTGGTAGTAGCCAATCGAAGTGGAAACAATCAGAACAAAATGGAGTAAGTACCTGTACCTACAGTAATAATAAATGATATAATATGTATGTGCTCGCCAATCAGAAAAATTGCAGTTCAACCAACGCAGAGAATCAGCCTGTCAAGAAGGGATGAGTAGATAGGATAAAAGAAAGTAAACCGAGGTGTAAAGCAGATTGAAGAGACAAATCCAAAAAGGGAAAATACAACACCCGACCCCGCCCAGAGATAAATGAACCGCAAATATACACCACGCACTCCTCTCTAATCGAAGAAGAAATAATTGTATGGAGACGATAGATATCCTCTATCTCATCAACGGTCCCATCCAATCTATCAGTCATATTGGTCCCGTGCTCCCACCCCGAGATGATCAATGATGTCAGATGCCCTTTTCCTAGCTGAGGCCATTTATAGCGTCACACTCTCCAGATCTCGCACCATCACGGACATTTGTGCCCGCTTGGCTGCCTCTGCGACGAGACTGAAGTCTCGCAAGAATGGTGCTGTCGCCGTGGGACCGCCCGACCCAGTGACTTGGTGGGGGTAGGTGTCCGCTGCAGGCTGAGCCATCGTTGTAGTAGCAGCAGCAGAGGTTTGTGAAATATCGGTGAAGTTTTGTTGCTCGCTGGCGTTTGCAGTTGGGTGTTGAGATTGAAGCTGCATCTGGGCGGTTTGGCTGTTGACTGCTGCTGCGGCGGCGGCGGCGGCTGCGAGACCCAGGGTGTTCTGAGGTTGTGAGGAAAATCCTGGAGAGACTTGTACGGTGGATTGGGGTTGGTTGAAGGGAGTAAGAGTGCGAGACGAGCCGTCCATGGTGTGGTTTCTATCTATCTATGGTGGAGGAGAGGCGGTGGTGATAAGGACGATATCGATTTGAGAGTCTATGAGGGGGCGGCAGCGATCACGATGGAAAGGGAGCGACAAGGGAGCAAAAGGCTAGGCTCAGCTGGCGGGATGAGATCGCAGTCCAGGCGTAGAGAAGGTATCGTTGAGTGGACTGATCCGGTGGAGTCGTTAGTCGCCTTAGCCTGATCGCTGGCGTATAGAAGATGGCGTGATGAGAGAGAAGAAAGAGGGAAAAGAGACCGGCAGAAGAGAAAGAAGAAAAAGCGCCAGCCAGCAAAGGAAAAGTAGCAACACGTGGGGCTCGTCCCAGAAGGCCGCGGTATGACGTCCGGCAAGGCTAAAGGCTGATAAGTGGAATTTCCACGAACGGATGACGCTGAACCGGAAAGTGAGGGACGGTCGCGATAGTCACAGATAGTCGGGGCGCCGCGATCAATTGGTCGGAGTCGTACTTTTGGGACGCAAGGTCAATCAGGCGATAATATACTGGAAGTTAGCGAGGGAGGGGGAAAGGGCAATCATTGAGCTAGTCAAGCGGAGATCAATTCAGTTGACGATGATCGACAATCACCGTCGCGAGGAGCTGAAACTATCAGACTATCAGAACTACTAATGATCTCTCTAGTTACTTTACTGTTGCATTTCTTTGGAAAAGCAACCAAAGCAACCAGGCCGACCACAAAAATTTCGCGAAAAGGTAACGCCGATAATTACCCGGCCGGTATGCGAGGCGGTCTCTCCGCCCGACCCCACGCGGGGTTTGCCTCAGAGATGCAGGTACCGTGACCGTATTACGCGGCGATGCCTCGGCTGAATGGCACGTGATGTCAGGTGACTACCCTCTTGCTCAGTCACCTGCGCTAGTCCCCTTGCGGTATTCCCCCACCACGAAAAAGACTCCACTTAGGATTCGCATTCGAGAATTCATTATTCGGTGCGCATCACCGCCTCATCGCCCATCATGCGACATTCTTATCCTCATCAGATCGATCTGTTCATCAGCTGGAGCTAGGCTCACATCTGATCACTATGGCGGAAGAGGACAATTTCGACACGGGGGCTATGTTCGAGGACCCCGAGGGCTTCTACGAACCCGAGCCCGAGCCCACCTTTGCAGAGCATCACATGCTCTCCGGCCAAAAAGTGCGCGTGCGCCTCGTTGGTAGCCATCCTCTTTACGTACGGCACTCTTGGTACCTCATGTTTCACCCGGCTTCACTCATTAACCGCTCATTCTAGGGAAACCTCCTCTGGAACGCCGGCCGAACCAGCTCCCACTACATCGAAGAACGCGCCAGCACACTAATCGAGGGGAAGGATGTCCTCGAAATCGGTGCCGCCGCCGGTGTCCCGAGTATTGTCAGTGCCATTCTGGGCGCCCGCACAAGCGTAATGACCGACTACCCAGACCTGGATCTCGTCGGAAACATGCGCTACAATGCCTCATTGGCTGCTCCTCAGATCGCGAACCCTGGCTCCCTCCACGTTGACGGATATAAATGGGGAAACCCGGTTGAGCCGCTGCTTGCGTACCTGCCCGCTGGTGCGACGGGTTTTGATGTGCTCATCATGGCAGATGTGGTGTACAGTCATCGGGAGCATCCGAATCTGATCAAGACGATGCGGGAGACCATGAAGCGGACCAAGGAGGCCGTGGCGTTGGTGATCTTTACGCCGTATGAGCCATGGCTGTTGCCCAAGACGGAGAAGTTTTTCCCGCTGGCGGAAGAGAGTGGCTTTAAAGTAACGAAGGTGTTTGAGAAGCTTATGGATGAGGTGTTGTTCGAGAATGACCCAGGTGTAAGTGTTGTTGCTCCAAGTGGTGCATTGGTAATCTTGCTAATACACTCTAGGATGAACGTCTAAGAAGGACGGTCTTTGGGTATGAAATCCGCTGGGCAGACGAGGAGTTGAATTAGCACACTGGTGTTGGAAAATGGATGAGCTTATGAGTCATGACTCGGTTTGAGACGTGTAGACAAATAGATGTGCCTACAATAAAAAGTCGATTATTTTAGCGATCAAATACAAACATAGACTTGAAAATATCTGCTTCAGAGCGAGCATACCTGAAAGTAGACAATCTTGTGCTTGTTTCAACTGTATAGAGCAGTCAGTCACATGGACCCCACCGAGCCGCCCCGCGCAAAAATAACTTCCAACGATTCCATCTCCGCCGCAAATCCACAGCGCAACATCGCCAACCAACATTGACAGTTGATCGCGCCCCTTCCCTCTCATCATGCCGGTATGTTTCCTCGACCTCATGCAATAGACCCGCATTAACCAATCACAGCTCATAGTATTGACCGGCTACCCCTGCTCCGGCCTCACCTACCGCGCCCACCAACTCGCGACGCAGCTCGAAGAGACCCAAACCGAGCTCTTCAACACCGGCGCTCTCCCCTCCTCGAAACCCCGCTACAAGATCCACGTTGTGCCTACTCATGATCCCTCCCATCCGCGAACCGTTTACGACCATGCCCGCACAGAAAAGGAGACACGGGGCGTGGCATATGCGCGGGCGAAGCGCGCGCTCGGCAAAGACAGCTTCGTGATTCTCGACGGAATGAACTACATCAAAGGATACCGTTATCAGCTGTGGTGTGAGGCGAAGGCACTGGGAACAACATGTTGCGTGGTATGCTATGCTATGCTCTCCTCCACCAGCCCCTGAACAACCAGCAAGCAACACACGCACTAACACAATCACCAGGTCCACGTCGGCACACCCATCGACCAATGCGTCGCAAACAACGAGGCTCGACTCCGCCGTCAACAAGGCGCAGACAATAGTAACGAGGACACCTCCAATCCTAACGCCGAAGCGACACCATCCACCACCGAACCCACCTCCGACCAAGAAGACCCCTACCCACCGGAACTCCTGAACAACCTCATCTTCCGCTACGAAGAACCCAGCATCCACAGCCGCTGGGACAAGCCCCTCTTCACCGTCCCCTGGACCGACGCATCCCCCCCAATCGCCGAAATCTGGACAGCCCTAACCGGCATCCCGCACCCTTCAGCAACAACAACCCCCGAGCCCGCCTCCATATCAAACCTCACCTCAGCCCTCAATACCACCTCTCTCTCCTCAGCAGCAAGCACCACGACCACAACAGCTACCCCCTCCACATTCCGCACCAACCGTCCCAAAATCAAACCCCACCAAGCAACCGCCCTCCCCGCCGCCACAGACTCCACAGCCCTCTACAACATGGAAAAGCGCACCTCAGCCATCGTCTCCGCCATCCGCACCTTCACGCTCTCCAACCCCTCCGCTGAAGCCGCCCTCGCGCAGAGCCAAGACGGCAGCAGCAGCAGCAGTGGACGGGGAATAACCATCCCCGTCCCGGAGGCGTCCATGCCCGTTTATGTTCCGGCGCATGTGGCGACGTCCGGCACGACGGATGAATTAGCCGGCGCGGGCGGCATCCTGGCGCTGCCGAGACTGCAGCGGTTGAGGAGGCAGTGGATTGCGTTGAATCGGGCGTATGTGCAGGGGGCGCATGCGTCGAGTAAGGGCGGGTTGAGTGCGGAGCAGGTTCCTGATGCGTTTGTGCGGTTTTTGAATGCGGAGTTTGGGGCGGAGAGTGACTAGATAACATCCTATTTTCTTAGTTTTGATTTTCACTGGTGTGGTTTGTTTGTGATGAGGGGTTGGGTGTACACGCCCTCTTCTCTCGTCAAGGCGAGTCGTTGGTTAGGGAAGGGCTTATATTCAGTGGTGTGATAGAGACGGGCGGGAAAAGTTTTGATAGAAGCGTGCGTTTTTGGAAGTATTTAGAGAGCGTTTTTTTCGTTATGGGTTACTTTAGTGCCTGCTGCAAATAACGTCTAGCTACAGAGCCTACTACTAGGCTACTTTTGACATACGTACTGTATGAATGATGATCGGCGAGTGCCTCTGTATTGGAGAGCTTCTCGAATCTGGGTATTTAATGTATTTTTCAAATAGACAACCGAAACTTACAGCCTTAAAATGTGGGAACGTTGATAGTAGGAAGAATGGCAAAACTTTTGTGTCCCTGCAGTGGCAGGGAAGTAGAAAACTGAAGACAATGACCTTCGAAAACAGGAGCAGTCAAGCTATATCCAAAGCGGGGATTCAAGAATCCAGAATAAAAGTGCAGGAGAAACGAAAGATATTCACAGACAACATGCACGTATGAACTCCCAATACATAAATAATGGCAGGCCTCCTGTTCCACGACCTGCACCTATACATGAACGAAACCCGTCATCTATATCCATGTCCAAAACCCAAAACCCATATACAAAACCGTCGTCCCTGTATTTCCAATTCGCCCCGTTCCCATCTTTTTTTCTTCTCTCTGGTCGACCTCTTTGAAACACAGGCCCGAGATGAAGGTCGATGCTTAGCATCAACACCCATAAAGAAAACAGAAAGCAAAACCACGTCCATCAGCAAAAGATACATAGAAATTGAACAAAAAAGTTTTTACAGAACCATGCGCAGCAAGCTGCGCGTACATGAAGTGTAAACTGTCGCAAGACAATGATGAAGAAAGGAGGAGGCATCTCCTATCCGACCGCCCAGAGCTGTCGTCCCCAATCAATGCTTCCACCACACCAGCCTACACCGTAGTGAGTCCGGTAATGGTCTGGAAGATGCCCCTCCAGATGATGGGATCAAGTCCGCATCACCGAGGGTGAAGCCGCGTAATGCGTCGTGGACGCATTGTGGCTGGAGAGGGGAGCTCTCCGGGCAGCCGCAGGAGGCCAGGGGATCCTTTGGAATGAAATAAGAAATCCAACCGGTGGTGAGAGAATAGTCTTTCACGGACGCTTTCCATGAAACTTCGATCCATCACGGCTCTTTCCCGTTACCATAAGATCCTTCCTATGAGGGCTATCAAGCACTCGGCGATCCCTGGGGAGATAAATTTTAAAAAAAGGACTTCACATGATCGTCTCGGTGAAGCATTCAAGCAGGAAGGCCGTGAGCGATCTGGGCCGCAGCCTGGCTGGCTTCAATGTGGCGGTAGTTAAGTCCAAGTGTAATGAGCTCCTGAAGGCTGGCATTGACCTTCTCATGCATGGAAGAATCCTGGGGCGTGATGTTGGTGAGTTCCTCGAGCAGCCGGGACCGGCAGTTGTAGTAGTTTCTCTCCGCATTCTGGAGTCTCTGGTTGTGATGAGCAGAAGTCTGCTGGGCAGCCTTGAGAGGGTTGGTCTGGGACTGGGTGGAACGAGTGCGCTTCATGGTGGGGGCTCCAGTGACACCAGCAACTCTGCGCTTGCGTCCGCCCGTCTCCTTCTTCTTGGCCGGTCCAGTAGTGGGGGAAGCATCCGGGGAGCTGTGCCTGTCAGAAGAGGCAAAGTCGTGCACACGTCGCATGTGGTCGAACAGATTCCATCTGCGGGGGAATCCGTAACCAGGAACCGACCTGTCACAACCCTCAAACAGGCACAGGTGGGGGTTGTCTCCGTGACCGTGGAATCCATGGGCTTCGCGCTCGTGGCGGAAAAGGCATGCGTTCGAAGAGAACTGCAGCTGAGCATCCATGCAGGCGGCCACCTTGCAGCGGTATGGCTTCAAGTGGGAGTCCAAGTATTTGCTGTTCCACGATTAGTTTGAGTCCATCATAGGAGGGTTGGGGTTTGACTCACTGATAGGCGCACTTCTGGGTAGTCGGGGGGTGGTTGCAGGGCTTCTCTCCGTTGGCGAAGGGGCAGTAGTACTTTCCATCATTGTGAGTAGGCAGGGAGTAGTAAGGGTGATCCCGGGGGTTCCGAAGATCAGAGCCCTCCTTGGCCTTTTGGCGGAGCGTTTCCTTGACCGGCAGGGGTGGGAAGAATTCAGGATCCTGCTTGACCTGGGTCTGGGACATGGAAGTCTGCAGGGC